AATATTATTGACATTGATACTTAAATGATAATATAAATTATAAATTATATATTAAGTATTTGTAAGTACCTAATTTTTGCCATATTTTGTAGTAAATTTAGTACAAACAGATTTGTAAACAACACATAAAAAAAAAAATAAATAAATGTTTATATTAAAATTTTTTATATTATTATAAAAATTATTGGAACACCTTTGGATGAGCAATTTAAGCAAGCACCTTTGGATGAGACATCCCTGAAAATAAGACCAGGCCTTTGTTTTTGGGGAAACACAGTACATAATGAAAGCTCCTTTAGTACCTTCTATGCAACTAAAGTACATTAACTAATAAAAAATAGTTTAATTATTTTAATTATTACAAATGTATAAAATATTATCCTTCTCAAGTATATACTTTTCAGTCTTCTAAACACTTTCCAAGAATGTTTTCAAATCACTTTTGTATGACTCAAAATTTCAACAATATAAGATGCACATTGTTGCACTCTTTTCTTAAACCTGAAAATGTAAGTTCATTTTAATTTTCTTATCTTTATTAAACTTTACCACATTTGTCTAGCTGATAATGTTACATGACTAGTGAATATGACAAACTTTTTGGTACCCAAATAGCTATTTTTTGTTGCCTGGCTATCTGAGATAATTCAGGCAATGCATGTCTTCAGGCATTTTGTATCCAAATAATTGAAGCTTGTTTAACTTTTAAAAAATTGTATTCATTTGCATTTTTCCATTAAGATTTAAAAAAAAATAGGAACTATTGATGATAACAGTAAAACCAATCAACTATAGTATATAAAAATTAATGAAGTGTTGACTTAATGTGTGGATATAATATATTGCAATATGACAGACATGTAAAAAAAGGATATTAGTACATTCAAACATGTCCAATAAAATAAAAATTGTAGATAATAAACTTAATAAATAAAGAAAAAATGAAAAGGATTAATGTTTTTAATATCTTTTTATATACTGATATCACAATCCACAATCTAACATTAAAATATATGAAATAATTTTGAAAGATAAATCTTAGAAAAAGAAGAATGTCAAAAATCAAAGTAAAGATAATTCTTATGTTTCTTTGAATTTAAATAAATTGTTTTAAGAATGATGTGTCTATTAAAGTTACTTTAATGTAATGAAACTTACCTCCTATATTTGGTGTAATATATACACCTCCTGGCCAATCAGTTTGTACTGTATATTGATAGCGTAGATATGTGGGATTTCGATACAAAATTACAGATGATCCTTTTGGAGTAAAGCCATACTATAATAAATAAAATCCAAATTTAAAAATCAAAATGATAATAAATTTAATCCCATGTAAATCAACTGTTTTTATAAAATTAAAATATATTTTTATACTTGTATTTTTCAAACATGATTACAATGCTATTTAAAAATTTGTACNAACTAAATAAAGATGAGAAAATCCGCCAAGTGTCTTAATTTATAGCACTATATTGTGTCAGAAGCATAAATCATGATTGTTCATTCCCAAACAGAACTTGGGTTTCAGGTTGTGTTTGGGAATGAACAGTCATTATGTTAGAGTATGGAGGACTACTGGTGAGTGCTTCAATCCTGTTTTTACTGTGGCAATGTAATGGAGAAGATCTCTCTCACATTTCACAATTTCTTGACCTGCCCAGTCTTCACATTTGTACATCATCTGTGGACAAATTCATTGTAGGGTGGTGCCCTACAATGAATTTGTCCACAGATGATGTAACTGCTGCTCCAGATCTCCTCTCTCTCTCTTATAGATAGCCAAAGTTGTGTTCCATCTGGTCTCAAAATCTCAATGGGCAACAAATGTGAAGACTGGGCAGGTCAGGAAATTGTAAAATGTGAGAGCGATCTTCTCCATTACATTGCCACAGTAAAAACAGGATTGAAGCACTCACCAGTAGTCCTGTACTTTAGTGTCCTGGACTATAGTGTCTGTGTACTTTATGCTCAGCCATATCATTGCATAGCATGTATCCAGGCATGGGTAGTTCTAAGGTATTAAGAATTCCTTAAGATTGTACCACTATTAAACAGAAAATTACCCCTATGTTATGATATTATAATCAACTAGCAGACCCCGCCACGCGTTGTTGTGGCTCAAAATGTATCTATTATAAATTTATAACACTTCCCCGTGGGGGGGAATTTTTCGAAAAATTTCTTCTTAGTGTACATTTTCTCGACGTACCCTATTAAAACGCAATCAAAAACGCAAAAACCCACATCTAAAATAGTATAATAGAAGCAGAGTTCTTTATGGTAAGCCTTAATCCTAACCATCTCCCTTCAGTGGGGGGAAATTTCGACACATATATTAAATAAAAACACGTGCGTATTTGAATGCAGCGTTGTGTGAAAATTTCAAAGGAATCAGTAGGAACAAATGAACATTACATTTTTATTTATATAGATAGATAGAAGATGATCCGCTTTAGTTCATTTTCACAGAAAAGTGTAATGCCTCACAGAAAAGCAAACTTAGGGTGTCGTACTCGTAGCGCCATCTGTTAGACATAAAAGCCTAAACCTAGATTATATCTTTTAATTTATATGAATGTTTAACGGAATAATATACAGCCTATGTCCACCCTGAGGTTCCATTCTAAATATTGGTGAAAGAATTTTTGAAATCGGATGAGTAGTTTCGGAGATTACCTGCTGCAAACAAACTTACATACATACTTACAAACATTACCTCTTTATAATATTATAGTACAGATAATTATCATTGTCATTATGTTCACACTAATAAAGTTTCATTCAATTTCAATGGTTATGCACCTCTCTGGTGCATAACTTTTTGGTCAATGAGTGTATTTTCTCTAACCATCAGATTTGTATGCATGTGTATATTTTTTCCTTAAATGCTTTGATGTTGGAACCTTGATATAGACATGATTTGGGTCCACATATAATATGATTTTCACATATTTGGGACTGAATAAGTATTTTATAAACTTTATAGCTTGTTTGTACAAGTGCTAAATTTATTCACAAACAATGTGTAGTTCATTTCTGATATCTGTACACTGCATTTTTGCACATGTATAGTTCATGTGGGAATTATCACTCTTCCATCCAATTATAAACAAGCATGCAAAATTCAAATGTTTTACATTTGAACTATCTAATTCACATTTTTTTCTTAAAGTTCCACAAATGAACATGTTTTGTGTTGCCATAAAATTTTATTGACCATGTAATATTGTTCAGAATTGATTTGATATGGACACCCTACATGAAACATTCTAATAAGTGTTTGTGATGTCATAATTTTCAACTCTTTTGTGTAGTATATTGTTGGACTGGTCTTCATCCCTTCCCACCTAAAAAGTGTGACAATGCAGACAGAAGTAAGTAGTAAGCATTTTTAAATTATAAATTTCAATGAATATTACTGACACTTTTAACATGCAAAATGCATATTTCACACATTTTAATGTCCATATATCTGGCATTTTTACATGCATATGTATGTGCATAAATTATGGTTTAAAATGCATATAAATCCAGTCTTTAGTTATAAATTTACTAGCAGATGAGCCCAGCGTTGCTCAAACAAAAAGTAATGATAGCGAAGATTAAGAATATTAGATTACAGTCGATCTTACTCGTTTTTACCATGTGCAAGAATTAGGTCCCTCCCTCTTCCTAGACTAATTAGAAAATTTTTAGATATCTGCTTACAACACCAAGATAACAATAATTAAGACTCACTGCAACCACTAACCGGTGTGTAGTACAAGTAAGTGATAAATAATAAACGTTTTTGTAACTCTTTCTGGGTTCTTCTTCAGGTTTACTAAATTTGAAAAATAAGCTGGATCTCCCAGAATTATTCATACATATAAATTTGAACGTAAAATTGAACATTAAGATGAAGAGTTCGAATAAAGTGAACTTATTCACTTTATGTCAACTTTATATACAATGGAACACTAAATATTGTAGTTAATTTTTAGAAGGGTTTAAACATATGTTTGATTTCTCACATAAATGCAAAAAAAGGCATCTAAAATAGTACAATAGAACCCAAGTTCTTCAGAGTAATCCTTAACCCTCTCTCTTTCCCCTGCAGTGGGAATTTCAAAAAATCCCTTTTTAGTGTTGTTCTCATGACGTACCCTGTGTACCAAATTTCCTAACTGTTTGGGCTCTGCACTTATTATTATTATTGTCATTATCATCATCCCACCTCAATTATATTATAAGATGATGCTTTTACTATACCATTCATCTTTTAAAGATCACCTATTAAAATATATCCTGAAGCTATACTCTTTAGCAAATCATGAATCCATCTCTAGCAACTTCAAAAACCACTCAAAACTGGAATTATTGTTTAAATGATAAGCTGAAATAAGTAGTCAATATTCAAGATGTTTTTGTAATTTCAATGGTTTCATGCTCCCAGCTGATAAGTCTTCACCCATTTGAATATCAAAATTGGAACATTTAAAACAAATTTAAAGTATTTAATTTTGTTGTTTTTGCTCCAAGCAATTAATTAATGATTAATTTTGTCGATTTGTACTGTTTACAACATTTATCAAAGGAATGATATCTGTTTTTATTTAAACTTTTCCACAAACAAAGCTACTCGAATTTGAAAATACCTCTAAACCTGCTGTCAAGTGAGTCTAGAAAATAGGTCAAGTAACTTATTTCTAGTCGCTGTCTACATTGTGGCAGGCAACAAACACCGTCTCTGCAATGAAATTTTTCTGAACAGCGGTCTACCCGATCTGTAAACCGCAGTCGGTCTCTATATGTTGACTCTGCAATTGGCTGTTTAGGTTCAGTGGTTTGTTCTAGGTGACGATGAATCAATCAGTCACCCAGTCAGTCAGGACATGTAATTTTATATATCACGAGTTCAGACATGCAACTGTGCTGCGTGGTTATCTATCTCATATATGTATGCGTCTTGCCTCTCACCACCCACTGACACCAAAAATATAACGTTTACCTAGATGATATCTTTTATTTTATATAAATTTTTAATGGAATAATATACAGCCTATGTCCACCCTGAAGGTCCATTCTAAATATTGGTGAAAGAATTTTTGAAATCTGATGAGTAGTTTCGGAGATTACCTCTTACATCCAAACTTACAAACTTTACCTCTTTATTATAATAGTATAGATTTAGCCAACAATTCATTTTTCAAATGCAAAAAACTTCTGTATAAGACACAAATACATGAATGTGCATAAGCATGTAAACAAGAATCTATATAGCAGGGGTGGCCAACAAGGCAATCGCTTGCGATGTCTTGACTTAATGTGTTACACTTGTAACCGAATGCAACATGCAAATGCAACTGTAGTGATATCTCTGCATCCTCTCTCAGATGCGGTTTTGTTGGTCCATGTGCAATCCATTTGTGTACAGTTGTAAAAGGAGAATAAGAAATATGTAGACAAAGGGTCGTAAAACCAAATAAAAAAAAAAAAAAGAAAGGCGAGAAGAGGGACAGAGAGTAGGTCAGGACACAGTATAAAAAAGAAGGGTGAAGTGGTGGTCCTCGAAAGTGACAACGTTGAGTTTCAACTTTTCTTTTGTTTAAAATTTATCTTTTCTTCATGTTTTAAATTAAATTGTGGCTTTTCTTACCTATCTAAACATAGTATGTATTTAAAACCTCCCCTCGCCACTTAGACTATGCCTACGACAACAAGTCGATTGCAAAACATTTTTAAGATAAAAAGTATATCTTATGTACACAAAAGTTGGCCTCCCCTACTATATAGAACCAAAGAATCAACAAGTTACAGTGGTACCGCATAACTTTAAATGTTCCAAAGTTTGAATGCTAAATTCAAGAGAAATATAACTCAAGAGTTTGAACAATGCTTCTATGTTTAAAATGCATGTGCAATGAAAAAATGCATTCACTGTGTAAATGCCATCTGTTATGTGCCCAAGTCATCTCTTGCTCTCACTGTGAAAACATCTTGTGTTATACTCATATGTTTTCAATGCTTTTTGCTTTATTTTTGGTTATATATATATGTATAGGTAGAGGTTATATTTAACCCCTACCTATTAACCACAGCATTCAAGAAGAGTGTGGAAGCAAGGAAACCTAAGAGGACGATTGTAGTATTGATGATTGAGGTGGAAAATGTTTAAAGGTAATGGAAATTAAGCAAAACATATTTTGTTTTTCTTAATTTCCATTTAGCAAAAGGTAAATGATAAAGAAAGGAACTTATTGCAAAACATGAAATTGTTGTGTGTGTGGTGGACAGGAATAAACAAAACACAAGTGTTTGGCTATCTTATTACAGTTGTAAGATAGCCAAGCATTTATTACTAAATTATTATTGCATAGGCTTGATGTGGACCAGATTTAAGTGGAATATATGGTACTAAAACATTTAACCCCTTAAGCCCATAACCCGAGATATCTCGGGCAAGTTACATAACGTTACATAAAATGAGGTCCTTAAGGCCATTTTTGAAATTTTTTTTTTTTTTGAATTTTTGGAATGTTTTTTAGGTCCCGAAATTTTTTCAAAATTTTTTTCCCGCGCAAAAAAATTTTATCGCGATTTTAATGAGCCTATGTGAAGGCTCGATTAAGGCTTAATTGTTTTTTAATGGGAGTTTTTTATCAAAATTATTTCATGGTTTTTAAGTTGTAGCGCACGGATTTTCATTCAGTAAAGTTATTTAAAGTTAGTTTCTGATGTCAAAAANTATTACTAAATTATTATTGCATAGGCTTGATGTGGACCAGATTTAAGTGGAATATATGGTACTAAAACATTTAATACTACATCACTGAGTTTCTGGTAACTGTTGGTCTGGTCTTAATCTGCACAAAATTATGAGAGGAATTATCACAGCCACCAGATTAGTTTACCAGACAGCCACAGATGACATTGTGTATAGAAAACACTTATTTACATTATTTACACTTTTGCATTTGTTGGTAGTGATACTGTATTTTTTTTTATGTTACTAGTTTATTTTTCTTAAATTTAACCCTAGCTATGGCTTCTAAGAAAGATGAAAGTGTTTGTGGTGGAGTCAAATGTAAACACCAGTTCATATTAATCCAAGATAAAGTAAAATTGTTAAAAAAAAAAAATATATATAT